TTAACAGATTTGAAAAATCAAATAAGCACCAAAACAATTGTAATGGGGACCTTAACACCCCACTCATGGAATTAGATAGATCAACTAGACAAAAAAAAAAAATCAGTGAATGAATATCAGAATTAAAACAAACCTATGAACAAATGAACTTAATAGATGTCTACAGAGTGCTCCACCCTATAACATCAGAACACACATTCTTCTCAGGTTCACATGGGATGTTCTCCAAACAAGACCACATATTGGCCCATAGAATATGTTTAAGTAAATTCAGAGGCATTGAAATCATCCCTTGCATCCTATCTGACCAAGTGCATTGAAATGGGAAATCAATGCCAAAAGATACCACAAAACAACATAAACACGTGGAAATTAAACAATGCCCTCTTGAACAACCAATATGTCACAAAGGAAATTAAAGAAAAAATTAAACAGTATCTACAATTAAATAATAATGCTGGTACAACATACTGAAACTTATGGGACACAATGAAAGCAGTCCTACTATGGAAATTTTTAGCAGTGAATTTTCACCTCAAGAAACCAGAGCAAGCTCAAATAAGCAACAAAGTATTGAACCTCAAAAGTCTAGAAAATAAATAACAATCAGATTCAAAGCTTGTAGGAGAGAGAAAATTATAAAATTAGAGCAGAAATTAATGAAATTGTGTCTATGAAAATAATGCAAAGAATAAGTGAATCAAAGACTTGGTTCTATAAAAGATTAAATACAATTGAGAAACCCTTAGTCAACCTTATAAAAAGAAAGAAGAGCAGACTCAAATTCAAGCAATTAGGAATAAAAAGGGTGAATTCACAACAGATCCTGTGGAAATCCAGAAAACCATCAATACCTACTTTGAGAACCTGTACTCTAATAACATAGAAAACACAGAAGAAATGGACAGCTTCCTAGACACATATGAATTACTAGAACAGCTTCATTTCTGATATTTCTTTGTTCATTTTTTTTGCCTAGTTGATCTATTTGTCCTACTGCAGGACTGAGGTCACCCATTACAATTGTGCTAGTGCTTATTCAGTTTTTCATTAATATTAATATTTGTTTTATATAGTTGGGTGCTGTGGCATTTGGTGCATATGTATTTATGATTGTTGTCTCCTCTAGAAGATTTCCCTTAACGAGTATGTAGCATCCTTCATTGTCTCTTTTAATTAGCCTTTGCTTGAAGTTCACTTTGCAAACAGGATAGCTAGCCCTCTTTTTCTTCAGGTTCCTGCTGCATGAAGTATTGTTTTCCATCATAAGACTTTATTCTATAATTTTTTTTTGGTTAAATGTGCTTCTTGAATGCAGCATATTATTGGATCTTGTTTCTTTATGCATTTAACCAATCTGTTTCTTTTGTTTTCTTAATTGAGACTATCTACATTGATAGGTATAATTGCTTTGAATTGCTTATCCTTCTCATATTATTTTCCTGTTATTGGCTCTCTGTTATTCTCCTGTTTAATTGCTTTTCTTGCCTGGTCGATTCTTTCTAATGGTGTTTTTAGAACTGTAATTTTTGTTATCTCTAAAATATCCTTCAGAACATTTTTGTAGAGCTGTCTTAGTGTTCACAAATTTCTTCAGTTGTTCTTTATCATGGAAGTATCTTAATTCTCCATGAGTTTGAAAGAGAGTTTGCAGGGTTCATCAGTCTGGGTTGGAGATAATTTTCTTTCAGGACTTCAAATACTTCACTCCAAGCTCTCCTAGACTTAAGGGTTTGTACTGCGAAGTCTGCTGTGATTCTGATGGGTTTTCTCCTGCAGGTGTTTTATTTCTCTTCTTTAATGGCTTTCAATATTCTCTTCTGTGTTGAATTTCTGGAAATTTGATTATTATATGCCTTGCTGTAGATTTATTTTGGTCATGAGTAACTAGAGTTTTATACGCCTCACTTACTGTGCGTCAAATTTGTTTTCCATGCTTAGAAAGTTTTTAGCCATTAATTCTGTGAACAGGTTTTTATGGTATTTGTGCTGTCTCCTGAGTTTTCAATGACTCCAATCAATCTAAGGGTATTCTTCTTTGTACTATATTTAGCTATTGGATTGATTTTTTTATGTGCCTTGCTATTTTTGATAAATCTTCCTTTTGTGACTACTAATCACAATCACATATTATAGACCTGATATTCTGTCTTCATCTTTGTTCATCTGGATGCATATATTTTCCATGGACTTTTTAATCTCCTGGATATCCCTCTGAATCCTTTTATGGAGTTCATTTCTTTCCTATGTTGGGCATTCATAGTGTCTATCATTTATTTAAGGTCCTCTATTTTTTTTAATCTCTTTCTACCCTAGATTCACTGAGCAAGTCTTTCATTTTGATTGTCATCTCTTTGTTTCTAACCTGAGAGATTATTTCTGATCTTAATTTCTGTAATCTTTTTCATCTGTTTCTTTTTCCTGCTGTTGCTACCATGTCAAAAAATTTAGGCAGATGAATTCTCATTTCCTCTCTTTCATTGTCCCATGGATTTGTCCTGGTTGAGCTGAAGGTCTGAGGTTGTATTTTGCTTCTGCTTATCATTTACTATTTTATAAATTTTAATTTGTTTTCTGTGTTGATGTCTGTAAATTGTTTACAAAAGGTACCTTTATCACTAATATCAAGGCTTCCTTAGGTAACATCTATTTTACAGAGGTGTTTTCTAGTTATAACTAGATCTTCCTTTACAATTTATCAGAGATGAGAAGTTCCTATTTATGTGCCTAATCACCCTGTCCTTTGGTACTGTACTGTGGTGATGATTATGATCCCTGACAATAACAGTGTTATCATACAAAGGAGAACAAGTGATTATAACAGGTATAACACCCTGGCTCAAGTAGTGTAAGTAGCAGTAACAATAGCATCAAGCATAGCCTGGAAACCGATAGACTGTGATAGCCATTAGTTTAGTACCTTTAAGCAGAGAAGAAAGATCTACAGTTATATAATGAAATCCCACACGAATCAGAAACTTGTATGCTATGAGTTTCTCCCTTGTAAAGTGAATTTAACCTTTGTGTGTGTGGCGGGGGAGATTAAGAGGGATATGGGAAAAATAGCTAAATAAATGAAGAGAAGTATAGTAGGATCAAGGCTGAAGGACAAAGGATAACCACTCAAGCTTTGGGAAACTGGAGAAGAGTACAGAAGAAAATGAAGGAGAAAGCAAAAGAATATTGAAGTGAAGCAAAAAGATTGCAGACAATATTCACTCACATGAAAATATCAAAGAAATCCAAGAAAGATAGTTGAGGAAAGAGAGAAAAATATGAACAAAAGTAAAAGCCTAAACAACCAAAGAAAAAGACAAAAAGGAAAACAAAATAAGCAAAGAACAACAACAAAGAGAATAAAATTCTCTGGTGCCCTCCATTCTGTGGAATTGTCCAAGTCAGAGCCAAATCTCTGCTCAGTGACACCACCAGGTCTACAGTAAGGTTAGTGCTTGGTGCAGGGCTGAGCTTGGACTCCTAATCTATGAGCTAAGGCTAGTGTGTGCAGCCAGTAAATTTTTGTATGCCCCCAGTGGCTCACCTGTGTCTCCTTAACCTGTGTGTCTCTATGTAGCTCTCCCAGCTGCTATGGTACCTTCTCACACAGACATGCCTAGGTTGCTCCCAGTCTCATGTACAGTTGGCCACTCCTAGCTCTTGTACAGCTTCCTCTGTTTCCCTCCACTGCATCTCTCTCATGTTGCTGGGAGCATGGTGGAAGGAATGCTAACTTCCCACTAGCTTCCTCTCCATGGCCCGAGGTGGCATAAATCCCACATCCCTCCCTCACACCACTGGGAGCAGGCCAGGAGGGCAAGTAGTATTCTATTTACTGCTACTTCTGTGATGTCTAACCTTGTTGTTAGTACAGGTTCCAGTTAACTCCTATGGTGCATGACGAAAGAAAGAAAGAAAGAAAGAAAGAAAGAAAGAAAGAAAGAAAAGAAAAGAAAAGAAAAAAAGAAAGAAAGAAAGAAAGAAAGAAAGAAAGAAAGAAAGAAAGAAAGAAAGAAAGAAAGAAAAAGATAGAAAGGAGGGAGGGGAGGAGGGAAGGATGGAGGGAGGGAGAAAGGGAGGGAAGGAGAGAGGGTGGGAGGGTGGGAGGGAGGGAGGGAGGTAGAAAAAAAACTGGTGGCCCATTGAGGAGGGAGCAGTTTCCTGGTCACTTCCCTGGCTGTGCTAGTGAAATTTGTTGCCAGGCTACAACATCCTTTGATTGGAGGAAGGTAAAACTAGGTGAGGGCCCTTATATCCCAAATTTATCCTTTGTGGCTTCAGTTTGTTACACTACTGCAGTCCGTCTGTTTTTTGTGAACTTCCCAAAACGGCGGTTCATGCTCCATATGCAGGCAGAGTTGCCAGGCAGCCCGCATGGGCTGATTCACTATTTTATAAAGTCCTATGCCTATGTTTTATTTGATTATCAAGTCTCTTATTTTAGATTGATTTTGGCTTCAGGATATATGGCCTTCCCTTTCTTCCAATTACATATGATTTTAGATGATTTTCTCTGAGTAACCCCAATGTAGATTCTCCTCTCAGCCATGTTTATCTCTTAGGGTATACATTTTAGAGATTAAAACATTCTTCTCTATATGGCCAAAAAAATATTCACTGAGGGGAAATGAGGGGGAATACATATATATATATATATATATATATATATATATATATATATGCTATACAGTGAAATTATACATTTTTAAAATTATTATGCTAAATGACACACCACAATTAATTCCCCTCAAAATTTCTCTCTCTACACGTACACTCTTCAAACACACTTATCCCATTGTTCCTGCCACTTTCTGAAGCTGCTCTGGATGTCCTCTTGTGTGAGAGTCTTTGGTTGCACTGTCGTGACTGCTTTAATATCCAGAATCATTTCATAACCTTTACCTTTCATAGTTATTTTGACTTTAGTGAAGAGCTAAAAGTCACACAGTGGCATATCTGGTGAGTGAGGTGGATAAAGATATACCATAATTTTTTTTTGACAGAAATGTCTATACCAGAAGCTATGGAGCATTGCTGTGATGGATGATGAAATTGTTTGCTCATTACTAAGGTGATTTTCTATACACATCATTTCTTAAAGCTCTCTAGTAAGCACTCATAGTCATAAAACATTACAGTAATATTCTATCATGTCAAGAGTGAGTGCAGTTAGTACATTTAAAAGTGGATCTCCCTTCAGTATAAAGCATACAGAACACGGTTCAAATTACTATGGTCAGTAATGTGAATTTCAGGGAAGAACTACATAGTTTACCAGGCTGAAACAGTTAAATCATTATGGGCTGTTTTTAGAACTGAAGATTATTTACAAGAGTTAACTGAATTAAAAGTTATTTTGCTATCAGTGTGGATCAACAGACTCACCCTGTTTAACAAACACAAAGAGCCTTAAAGTGAGTACGTATCTGTGTCTAGTTTCACTCACAAGGAAAATGAAAAAGTAATCCACAATCTTTCTAGAAGTGTTTACTTGCATTACATTTTGATCCAAGATTAGCCTGGATTAATAGCCCTTATTAAACTTGTTGTGGGTTATAATCCCTTGTCGAACCTAATAAAAATTATGACTATTACCTGCAGAAGAATAATGGATATACATATATGTACTAACTCTCTATGATGAATATAATCACTATGTACTGTGAACATCTACCAATTAAAATTAAAAACTGAAAGAAAAATGGATGTCCAAATAATCATATAAAATTTCACCTGCCATTTCACTGAGCCTCTTAATCTGGCATTATGCATGGGCTCTGGATGACTGGACTTACTGAACAGAAATCTCTAGATGTTGTTCTATACTTCTGGGGACAGGAATATATAGGCATTAAAAAAACTGTGGATAAATTAAAACTGATCTTTATAAAAAATGAGAAGTCACTGAAATGAAAACTCAATGAAAAGAAATTAAATCCATTTTAAACTGTCCTTACTGGATATTTGTAAATTAATGATTGCTTTCTAGAATCCTTTGAATTAAATTAACTTGTCTTATACGTAAATGGAACAGAGATTTACGCTGCCTAAAGAGATCAAACATTTTCCATGTTTTTTAAACAGTGTCTCTTAGGGAGAGAAATTATTGATGCAATGATAATTGCAACTAGTAATAACTTTAAAAAGCTGGCCATATGAGAGAATTTCCACATAATGAAAGTTTGCCATATATTTTGAAGTGTTTAAACACACACAGCTCAAAGAGGTAGGGAATGAGCCTACTGATGCCTGGAAAGAAAATTTTGGCTGTCTTAATTAACACATCTAGATTTCAGTTTAGCTATAAAATATGGAAAGAACCAGATTAGCTCCAGAAAACCAGTTCCGGTCCAAATCTGTTACTCTTTGGCTACAAGAGGACTTAGCAAAGTCATGTATAAGATTAGATGTGGAATCTTTCCATGACGTAGAATGAGAGGGCTCATTAACTGAGTTTGCAAGTCTTGTGTATCTTTAAAAATTTAACTTCCTTTGGTATACCTCTACCTGCAGAATTCCAAAAGATGGCTCAAACTGCCACTCACCATTTCCCAACTTTTCTCTCTCAGAACTTGTGACTCTGAGTTGGGGCACATAATATTTTAAAATACAAGAGTAAAACAGATGAAAACCAAACAAATGAATTTAAATTAAAATGTGATTCTTTACAAATAAAATTGTTTTTATTATTTAACACGGAAAATAAAATTTCAAACTTATATGTGAAAAACAAAACTTGCAAATACATGTACTGGGATTATAAGGGAGCAGAACTACAATTTTGCTTCTTAGTTTTAAAAGCGTACACTATTGAAAAGTTGAGAGGAATGTATTTTATTCTAGTATGACTATCAAAGGTGTACTGGAGCAGAACTTCTTTGCTCTAAACAGAACCACATAAATAGTCCCTTTTAGTTATGTAACTACTCACAGTTCCAAAACAAATGCTCCTGAGGGCATTTGAATAGGATGATAGTCAGTTGGATACGTGGGACCTGCAGACAGGTGTTTACATGAATCATTAAGTGTTTAATGAGAGATGAGGTTAGGGTCTTCTAAATTACTAACATACACACTCTAGTATGTCCAATATAGCCCTTGGGATGATGAAAAGAACTCTTTAGAACAATGTAAATCCCAAAGTAAACTTCCCTAGATTTTGGAATAGTTATAGGTGAGGGCTTGAGTGATGTAAAGATCTAACACCCTGCCAATACCGGTGAGTGAGATAGAATTGTGAATAAAGTAGCTGTGACAACTACAGAAACAGCAGCACTTCAGGAAGAAGCCTAAAGGGTCTGTTGACCTATTGCCTGGTTATAGTTCATATTAAACCTACTGTCTTTCTTCTTGAGTATTATTTATTTCAAAATAGTTTATTTATTGTCATTATCATGTACTTTCCCTGGTACTATGGAGATCAAAAGACAAAAAGACAAAGGGCAAGGGCAAAGGCCTGAACAAACTGAATACACTGAGTAAACTGAAGGCAAGGTGAGATAAGACTCCAGGAAACCTGGAGCTACAAAAGACAAAGAAATGGGGCTGGAGATTTAACTCAGCAGCACAGCACCTGCCTGGCAAGCGCAAGATCATGAGTTCGATTCCCGGTACCAGAAAAAGACCAAAAAAAAAAAAAGACAAAGAACTGATGGAATCCCCAACCACAGGAAACCTGGCAAGCAGCAGCAGCAACCAACACACCCACAGTTTGACAAGTCCTTTGCTCCTTTGCTGCATGCACTATATAAATTTCTAGACTCGTATGTTCTTGGCCTCTTTGACCTCCACGTCTACACCTGTTAGTTCCCCAGTGTTTGCTGAGTCCTGTCGTCCTGTCACTTCAATCTTTGTCGCCTCAGAATAAGAACCCAGAGGGAGAAACCACACTGCTAAAAAGAAATTAATCCAAATTTGTAGAAACCACATTATGAACATATAGTACTTGGCATTATGCTAAGGATTCATTCTGTCATGTGGAGAAAGAGCAGGAACCAGTACACAACGGTAAGGATAAGTGATACAAAGTATCCAATATTGCATCAAAATGCAAAGTAGCACTCACTGTAGTTTGGTGTGGAGATGAGATCAGATCAGCATTCTTGGAGATAGTGACACAAAATGTGAGTTCACAAAGAGGTACAAGATAAACAATGGAGAAATAGATCGGTAGGTAATATGGGAATTAAAATATACTGCATTGGGTAGATAAAGTATATGAATGTAATTTTAGATGAATGGGGAAAAGGTGCCTCTAGAAGCACATCAGCGTATCATAACAGGCCATGGTCTCAGAGCTAATGAGTATAAACATTCTCTTAATATAAGGAAGGATCGCTACAAAGTTCTTACAGAAGTAAAATATAGCTTAAGAAATGAAAACATAGGCATAAGGTAATACACATGTTCAAGAGGAGTAAGGGCATGGTAAGTAGACATGGCCAGGTGATTTATAATAAATGTTTCCTAAGGAAAATGAGATTATCATTTATTTCTACTTGCTAAACAAGATTCTTTTAAAAAGCAAGAAAAATAACAGTCAGATTGTAATCCCTCTCTACATATTACATGATCACAATTCACTTCTAATTAAGATACAGGATATAAACAAAATAATACCTTCATTTTGTTTCTTTGTAACTGACTCATGGAAAAAAAGACATCTGAGGAGAAGCTGTGAAAAATGGAAATTTATTTTTCAAAGGAGTATGTTATCACTGTTATATCTATTTTTTCATATTTTATGAATCTTCATCTAGTGTACTTTCAAGCATGAAAACGTTGATGTTAAGGAAATATAAGGGGCCAGATCATCAGACAATATTCCATTTATGTCATTTGGCACACCATACTCTATCTAATGAGGTTGTGAACCAAGCAAAGTAATGCATTTTAAATTACTTAGGTCAGTGAAGATTAGTTAAATTTCTAGTAACCACAGATTCAAAATTTAATAATGAACATTCTTTATGTATCTTGGTTAATATAGAGGTAGGAAGATTGATTTTTCTTGGGGGAAATGATATGCTATTATTTGATTTATTTACTATAATTTTATATTAAAAACTTCATATATTGAATTGACTTACTAAGAATATAATTCTGTATGAAAATGGGTAAAACCCCATAAAATGTGAATGCTAAAGCTCAGGAATATTAACAGTATCATTTCCCAAATGACAGAGAGAGTAAAATACCAATGGTAGGTAAATGTCCTTCTTTAAAGGACATCAGATCAAAATGAAAGACTGAAAAGTTAAATACGGAGAGTGAGGGCAGAGGATAACCTATTTCTACTATGTTATGATGCTTTCACCTGCTTTGTTACAAAATCTCAGACCTCACAGGCTCAGCTTTTTGGCTCATAGCTGTGTAGCTTTGTTTCTCTCCAATACATAAGTGAAAGGTAAAATTGGACTCATGAGCTGACCTTTACTACCAGCTATGCTTTTCTTTAAAGATGATAATGGATTTTCCTTACGGTAGAAGTTGTGAGTCATGATAAGTGCCCTCACTTATCTTACTGTTCAAGTGGTGACAGCAGGCAAAGAGCAGGAGGAAGGAGCTTTTGGGACAACAGAAGACAGACGTAGCCTCCTCATAGTTTATAAGCCTCAGAATGTCGTCTGATTGCATATAATAAAATTAATCTCTTGCTGACATTTAACTTGCATCTTTGTGGCCAAAATAATAAGATTCATCCTACAAGCAGTTAGAGAAAGCAATTGTTAAAACTATAAAAGAAAAGCTTCAGTAAATTTCACACTTAACCTCCTATAAATCTCTTTCCAGAATAACAAGGAAGATTCAAGCACAAATACGAATGAAATATGAAAACAGCAACAAAGACCTGCTGGCCAAAAACACTTTCTTTAGCTTATTGCCATGTACTTGAAATTGTACATTGTTTTCAGTACCAATTTCTCATATTATTAACTGCTAATTTAAGATACATACTATCTATAGAGCTTTAGATATTCAATATACTTTAATATGGGTAAGATTCCTGAAAAGTGACCATTGCAATACATTTTTACAGAGGAGGAAACAGAAATAAATAGGGCTTAGGGTGACTACCAAGTCTTCTTAATTTCTAAACTGAAGCTCATTCCATTGAGTCCTCTTACTTCTTGTTTATGAAAAATCTGAAACTAGGATTTTTTTTATTTGCAAGCAAATTATCCTGGGTAGATAAACATACTATGCATACTAACTATTTATACATCACCTTGGGTCAGTTCAGAAACTTTCTTCCCTAGAGGTGATTGAGTTCATGTAGAGCAGGAGCTGGGAGACTGACAAAGGAAACGGGACAGGAAAGCTAACAACCTCCTAGCACACAGAAGCTCACATGGACATTTAATAGGAAAGAATGTCGAACTCCATAAAATAAAAGGAAAGAAATGGAAATTTTGAAACCAAACCTCATCATATTGCTGTGAGCCAGTGCTAGCTACCTGTGGCTGGACAGTGTTTTAAAATGAACACTGGGAACAAATACTGTCTCATTTCCCTTGCTTTACAGTACCAGGTAAGTGCATGTACTCCAAAGAGGCCTAAAGGATTGTGGAGTTAAATGAGAAATTGTGAAGAATAGACATAGTTGAAAATAGAGCTAATCAAGAAATTACTCTTGTCTGCCTCAGTGAGATGCAAAGATTAGTTCAAATGAGACTGGATTAGATGTAGTACTCAAAAAAAAGATCAAACTCATCACTGATTGCTTAATAAAATCAGGTAGTAATCATGGCCTGACAATACTGGAAACTAATGAAGTTGTGCACTAATCTGCAAAAAACCTAATTCATTTATTTCAAAGAACTTTCCTCTAACTTTGCATTCTAAAATAACCTTTCTTTCAGTTGACACTAAAGTAGGGCAGGCAAAAATCTTTTGAAAGGGACTGAAATAGAGTTTCAACTAGTGTAGCATAAAATCATTTTGGCTCAAAGTTGTGGCCAGTAAAGTAAACTGGCCTCCAATAAGCTGAGAGGAAGAAACCCATCTACAACTAACCCTTCTGACCAGTCCTTCATCAAATCAGCATCCACACAGTAGCAAAAATGATGGCAGACAAAGTCAAAATTACTGAGGTGAGTAAAAGACAGCAGGTAAATACCTTGTCTGACAGCATGTAAATACGACTAAGCAGTAGTATGATTATATATCTCTTAGTGTTCCTACTACATAAACCCATACTAATGGCCATACTCTATAATACTAATAGTCTTTTTAAAAAGTTAGCCACACTTCTATTCCTGATGGTCTTGTCCACCATGATCAATTTACAAAGAAAGACTAATACTTTTGCTCTCTCTCCACTTTATTTCAATCTCTCACTTTAAATCGGAGTAAGAGGAGAAAACACACCATTTGTTTTATACATTCAGCTTTGCGTATACATTCAGCTTTGTGTGTTTGTGCAGTGTGGCTCCCTCAAAGGTCAACTGTAAGAGAGGGCTGTTTTGTAGAGAAGTTTTACAGTACAATCTATTGTACTTTTTGTGTCTTGTTTATTCTTAAGGAAAGAACAACTGGGATGGGGGAAAGGAGAAAAGAAAGGAATATATA